TATCTTTGTAAAGTATTTATTCCACTCTTTAAAAAAACTAATAACGTTATCTTAAATATTCTACATATAAGGATTTCAAAAAAGTCATTAAAAAAGTTGTCCTAACTTTTTTATTTTCTACTAATAAAAATTAGAATCGGATTCAAACTTTTTTTCATTAATTAGGAATTATTATTTAAATTGAATTAAATTTTAACTTTTTTTAAATTAACTACTATTTTTATCATCCAATTAAAAACTCGTCTTTGAACAGTATCGAACAATGGTTAGTTTATTTACTTTTTTATTGTAAATATCGTTTCAACACATTGCTTTGTCCATTGATTTGTAGTAAACAGAAGTGAAAAGAGCAGAAAATTGCTTATTATTGGATTAATTAACAATTGACCCATTTAACTATCATCTTAATACGAGAATCAAGATTATGCTGCATTGAGGGATGTTCTAGATTCTCATAAACCTTTATCTTTCAGTATCCAGTCTACTTCAAAACCGTTTACATGCTGTGAGAACAAGTTACATGTACGAAAGCTGCATCCAAATGTCATGAATGTAGGTCACGGTTCTGTCGCCGTCCGCAAGGTTTTGGATTTGATAACAAGTATTGCCATGCAGCATCATTTGTGCATCACATAATATCATATGTCATATGTGTAAGTATTTTTATTTATGCCACATAACATTTTATTATTATTTCTTTATTCAGTTCTTGATATAATAAAACGTTATATACATATATGTATGTACTATCGCCCTCAACTAATATAATACTCTGATGACAGCTTCACCAGCTGACGGTTTATTATTATTATCATTTTAATCCAACAGCATGTTTCATTGAGCAGAACAGATCCGCTCAAATATAAAAAAGTCTTTTGTGTATCACTATTTTATGCCTATAAGTTTTTGCTTTGCATTACTTTCCATTGGAGATACTCATGAAGTTACAGCTGATGATTTCACTAATTAGTATTATAATCATTACGAAATGAAATAACATTTTTGAATGAGCATAGTAACATTTTAGAGATAAATGTTAAAAAATTTTATATTCAATTTCTACTACATTTACGAGCTATTTTAGTAAAATCGTGTAATAACTTGGAAAATTTTAAGTGTGTTATTTCATTTGACCAGTTTTTCAATGACAATGTAGAGGAATAGAATACAAGATCAGCACTTTCTTCAGATTCATATTTTTTTTAAATTAACATAATACTTGAGTAGTTTACTAATATTTGTTGAATATTTTAAAAAAAGAAAGTTTACTTTTAGTTCACTCATCTTTAAATTGATCAATAATTATTATTTAATGTAAATGAGCAGTTTTAAAGATAAATTTTTGATATAATCACATCACTGTACTGAACATTAATATGGGATGGCTTGCTTTTAAGTTTACAACAGTCTTTCAGTATTTTTTTTTATAATTATAATCACTTGTTATGTATAGAAGCTCTCATAAAAAGCAGCTTAAGCTGCTTTAATGATATTTCGACATGATTTAATGATAAGCTTTAATGATATTTCGACATGATTTTCAACATAAAAATGTGGATTAAAAGCAACAGATTGGTAAGGAAAAAATTACTTTAATAATTATTAAAGTAATTTTTTCCTTACCAATCTGTTGCTTTTAATCCACATTTTTATGTTGAAAATCATGTCGAAATATCATTAAAATATAATATAATTTTTGAAAAAAGTAATACATCATGTTTTACTCTATTTATCTTGGCATTTAAACTTTTTTTATGGCTCTTTAGTTTTTAAATTATCGCTCGCCACCTCTAGAGTTGTTATGTTATCACATTTCACTCTCACGTTCATTATCTATTAAAAACTTCCCTGAATGAACAATTTTTTCCCCTTCTATTTACTTATTTTTAGAGTTTACATAATCGTTATGTTAAATAAGTAAACATCGAATCGATATATATTTATTTAAAAACGAATCTTAAAATTTTTATTATATATCTTCATCTTAAAAAATATTAGTAAACAAACTATTATGACTTCTCCTATGAATACTAATAGATTGTTAAAATAAGACGGATTATTTTTATATTTCTTTATTATTAATAAAAAATTTCTCTACATTTTTTGCCCCAAAAATAAACTAGCGTTGTTTAAATATCAATCTATGGGAATAACTTATTTAAAGTTTGTTATAAAAAAATATCTCTATAAAAAATAAAAGGTTTTCTCGTTGTTAAATTTATGTGTAGAAAATCAAGCAGATAATTTTTATTTATATATTTTTATTGGAATAAAAATAGGTCTATCATTAACACAGTTTTTGTTTATTATTTTTTCAAGTTGCCTAGTGGTTGAAATAAAGTAACTTATCGACATCGATAGTATATAAACTTGCTGAGTTAACTAAAAGGCCACATTGAAGAATGTCAAAGTCAGGGAAACAAGCAAGTATTTATGATATAAAAGGGTCAAAAGATATGTAACTATAAGCTAAAACAACTGTGCAGGGTAAAAGCGTGTGGGACGAAGATAAATTCGAAGCTATCCCAAGTGTCTATATGTCGCGCAAGCGCCTTCTTCGGTCAGCTGATTCCCTAGACCTACTTTTTCACAACCGATGATGTGATGAAGTCGAATATATGCACTATCAAGGCATATAGTTAATGTATATCAACACAAAGTAGGCCTAAATAACACTGGTATGAGTATATGCTAACACACGATACTCATGTGGTATATATCTGGTAAATACTGGCTCAACTTGTTACGTATTCAAAGGCTTGAAATGTATGTTGAAATATGCGAGAGAACTAAACTTAAAAAAAATATATTGAGTTTTCGACTTTCATTCATCTACTCCTCCGCTTCAATTTCTGTTGACTCTCACATTTTTTTACTTTGCTGTCACGATTACCAGTTAGTACAATAACAGACAGAATTGACATAAATGCTATAATGGTCGATTACCTACGCAAGAAACCTCAGTAATGAACTGATGCCTTTATAATAACGATTTTCTATTATTAGATATTTTTCTAGCATTCCACTATTACTTAATTTATCATCAGTACTATTTATTTATACTTTATTTATCCCTCATGCAAGCTTTCCCATCAAATATTCAAACAAACAGTCAATCGAAAGATTTCAAAATCCTTCAACATCACTTTCCATCGTTTTGAATACTTTACTAATCCCAGTCAATTAATTAAGACAATAAAAATTACAATATTCTTTTCCTACTTTAACTATTTCATTATCGATTGATGACCAAAAAGACCAATTATAGGCCTTATAAAATCTAATTATCAAAACTTTATTTACTTTATCAAGTGCTGAGAAATTGTTTAAGTCAACAGTTATAAAAACAAACAGTTTTCTGATTAATTAATTAAAGTAAACATTGAGTAACCATTGTAGGAGAATTGTTTTCCACTAACTTGCATATTTTTTGCAATATATAACATTGTCAACGAGCAAACTACCTAATGTTAATTTGAATTTCAAAATTTTTGCTACTGTTTACAAAGTGTCTGAGAATCAATACGACACAGAGTTAAATTAAAGAGTGGAGTAAAATTTTCTTAAATAAAAATTTGACCAAATCTATATGAAACTCGATCAATATTTTATATAGTATCTTCATATGAAGAAATAAATCAACTTACCTGATTTATAAATGATAAGTAGTTCTATGTAGAAGTTGAAGAACAGCAGAAAACTATGGTATTACACTGTATGAAGTCTCTGCGCGTTGTGTGGTGAACGCGAGGTGCAGTAGGGTACCAAAACTGCGGCAAGTAGTAGTAGAGGTGAGAGAAGGAGGTGGAAGAGCGCTAGAAGCTAGCACGTGTCCATGGACTCCGCTGATAGGAAGGAGAGGAAGGCTAGATCTCCAGCAAGTGGGGAAATCATCGCAGCGCCGACGCTGCATCGACCCGATGGTTTTCGGGTGAATTTACGAAGAAAATCTATTGTGTATTCACTGTGATAACTCACTGGATATCTAGATATTGGTGGCCTAGGAACCTGGGGCCACGTGCGCACGCAAAACGACCTAATTCTTGGTACTTGGAAAGAAGAGTGTTCCATTTTTTATGCGCAGACTCTTGTACCATCAGGATTTATCTCTTTTTTTTTTATTTGTCATATTTGGAAAATGAACTTTCGTAAGCTACGTCAGGAATTGAAACGATCGAACCAACATGTTGTTGTTCGGAAAACTTGACAACATTGAAAAAAAGCCATAATTGCAATACGAAAATAAGAAATTGATTGCAAGCATTATTACTTCAAGATATCGATAAGATTCATGATATATAATGTTTTTATTGCTAAATTTGATAAAGTTAATTACTTACTCATTTACAGCATCAACTGTTGATTCATTCTCGACATCTAGACTCGTTGGAGAATACAATGGAGAATCCGAAGAAAATGAACCTCTAGATAATTTCAGATCTACCTCATCACAATGCAGATGTTGCCAAGAATATCTAGATTTAACTGACGGACTTCTACAAAGACCAGATTTTTCAGAATCAGACGAAGAAGGTCCGGGACTTTTTGGACTTTTTAAATTGCCAGAACTAAACACACGACCTAACCGAATTCTCAAAGAAGTACGTTCTTTACTCCGAGAAAATCCACTTTCATCAGTTGTCTCATCTTTGTCATTGTTCAAACACTCATACGGACCACCACTCATTTTTAATAACAACAATTGAGAGTGAATTAAATGTTAAAGATCAAAAGCCAACTGCTGTTGTCAGCAGGGAAATTAAAACTGCCATAGTTGCAAAGATTTGTTAAGAATCACGGTAAAACCGAGAGAGAACTTCCTTTAATAACCACTTCCGTCCTTCTTTCCTACTCGTTATCAATCAGGTCAAATTTTTTAACCATTAAAAAGCTTATCAACCTGCCGGAATTTTCTTTAAAAAATCTTAAAACTTCGCATGTATGGATTAAACAATGAAAAACGATTATTTTCGCCAAATAAAATCAATAAATAAACAATATTGTGTGTTTATGGACAAATTTATATTTAGTTATTGAATTTGAACAAAGAAAATGATTTACATGCTATTCAATTGAAGAAAATAAATACGATGAAAGTGATCCATCAAATCACCAGGATCTTGATGGTTTTGTTTGGTTAATGAATTTCTTGAAATACTACATGCTTTCAGTTTCTTGAACCTTATCAACACGAGCATTAATACATTTATATTGATCATTATCTACTTATTATTAATTATTATTAACAATTTTTTACTAGACACTCACACGTGAATCCTTGAAATCGATTGACAATTTATTTCCCAAGTGAAATCAAGGAGTGCGTGTGGGCTGTGATGATTCAAGAGAATGATATAGAGAGAGGCAGTTTACGAAACAGCTGAACACTGAAAACACAATTACTTTTCGTGTGATGACATTTGGGCTATTTGAAGTATTGTATCTTCATCAAGTTAAGCTTGTCCGAATTTTTTCCTCACTCTTTTACTTAGAAGCCTTCTCGATGTAAGCAATCAAGTCTGCACGCTCTTGAGGTTTCTTCAATCCAGCAAATACCATCTTAGTTCCCGGAATGTATTTTTTCGGGTTTTCGAGATACTCGAATAAGGTATCCTTGTTCCACGTGATACCTGAAAAAATGATTTATTTTTCAATAAATTAATTAAATATTAAATACTTTATGAACTGATTTTGTGCAATAGCATGAATTTTGATTTAAAAATTCAATAAGTATTGCAAATGTAATCAGGAAAAGAAGTATCCGGAAAAGTTGAGTTTATAGAAAGAATAATTTTTTATAAAAACAAATTTTTTTACAAAAAAAAACCAATTGAGGAGTCAAGAAATTGAAAAAAAAAACAAATTTTTTTCTTTAATTTATAGAATTCAATTATCATCAAATAAAAAAATTATAAAATACCTTTAGAAATATTAGCCTCTGTGTATTGGTAGTTTTGAGCTTGACCAGTCTTCCTGCCGTAGATTCCATGAAGATTAGGTCCTACTTTGTGTTTACCACCAGCTTCTATTGTGTGACATTGAGCACACTTCTGTACGAAGATTTTTTTACCTTTTTCAGCATCTCCTGCGGGAACACCCATATTGTTTTGCTATCTGTAATATTAAAACAATCATCAAAGAATTATTGGTTGTTGTAATAATATGAAAATATTGATGAATTTTGTAGATATATTTCAAAAGTTTTTAAAAGTCTGATAAGTTTTAGAAATTTCAAAATTATCAAAGATAAATTATTTATCAGTTCATTCAATTCAATTAGAATTAGAAGCTAATTTTAAGAGTCAATTGACAAGTCTTAAACGGAATGATTATCAATTTAATTATCGAATAGGGTAATATTAGAATATTTATATGATAAATTGTTACATCACAAATATCATATTTCAATAACAATGTAAACTTTGGAATTTTCTCCTCGAACTTATCTGCACAGGTGAATAAACTAAAAATTTTTAACATTCACAGTTCTTATATAATAAAAATTTTAATGAAAAAGGTTCTCATAGTTAAAAAATTAAAATACATTGAGATCTTTATTGAAGAAAGTGTTCTAGATACTCTTTACCCAATAACTTTGACCTTGGTCTACAAAAACCAGCTACCAAAATTAATTCATAAAACATTAGAGAATGAATCTAAATGAATTTGAAGTTTTTTTACATTTATAGATTAAATTCTTGCGTGATTGATCATATGACTTGGGAAGATTAAAGAAAAAAAATTAAGCGAGGGCGCGTGTTAGAAAATGAGACACTAGGACACTGGCTCAGGGCCAACCAAGTGTTATATAATAATCCGTCATTTAACCTTCAAAAGTACACAAAAAAATCATTTCTTAGGTATGATTTAAGATTTAGTAAATTTAAATGAAATGATCTTAGAAACGTTTTATCAGTCAGGTTAAGACAGACGCACGTGCTACAAACTCTTGATCTCTATAAAATTTTCATTTATTCACTTGTTTCCACTAAAATTTTAACCTTAAATTATGCCTGAGACGACTTTTCACAGAAAAAACAAGAAAATGAATAAAATAATGACAAAAAATAAAAAAAGTCAAGTAATAATGGATAAGTCAATTTACCTGTCTCTTGTTAGCACCAAAAACGATCAATGAACACTCCCGTTGTCCAACTGTGATTAACGTCTGTAAAACGATCAAATCGATGGCTTGTGGTATCGATGTGTGGAGGCTGATGCAACCTTACGACATAACCTATGACGTCTTTTTAAAAAAGTTATAGTTTAAATAGCTGTTGTCAGATGGCGCAGGTGTTGATTTAAATAACTCTGAAATATCCTATATGAAATTATCTTTTATCATCAATATATCCAATTTATATAAAAATTATATTTATAATATAAAAAATTCATTATAAAATTAGTTTCTTTTATATTCGTTTGCACTTTTTCATAGTCTGCAATTTTGGAGTAGTTTTTTTTATAAATGGAAATTTAAAAATTTTCCATAAGGTGGCGTGGCCATTAGTTCCCAAAATTGAATGAAACATCAAATTTCGTGTTTACTTTTTTTTCATATTTACATTTTTCTGTTTGAAAAGTCAATCAAATTATTCGAATGACTGTATTTCAGAATGTACTTGATCGAATGTGGATGACAAATTTTTTATTAAAGTTCTTTCTTGATTTTTTGTGGTTTATGGTTTGACTTACGAAGTAAAAAACTCTACAGTTGATTTTCGTACATTATTGGCAAGTGATCTGAATAAGTTTTTAGATAATTGAAGACGTCAAAGAGTTGTATGACCGTGTTTGAATACAACTCTTGGCATTACTCACATGTAAGAAATTGTTTTTCATTTTTGGCTGAATATACTTTTGATAAGAATCTAGCAATATGACCGAATATAATTAAACTGCGATCTTCCGGTATAGATATTCTTAACACATTGTATCTTATTCTATCACAACAATAATTTTTCCACACTATTTACAGTTAGAAATGTATTGCTATTCATAGACATACATTTAAAAAACTTTAAAATCTTAGTTTTCTAAAATACTATTTAAATAAACGAGTTATATTGAAACTATAATTGATTAAATTTTTTTAACAAAATAACAGCTGTTCCAAGAGTGCAATCATGGCAGTGGAAGCTGGAATTTCAGTTGATGATGACAATCCTAAAACTAGATTCGTCAGATATCTTTATGTTGGCAAAGAATATCCTGTGTATCACTCAAAAACATGGACAAATCAAAATCATTTTACAATGGACAAATTAGCATCTGTAGTAGAATTAGCTGCAGACAAAGAGACTGAATTATTTCCCATTACTCAAATAAAACAGGTAAAGGAATTCATTAATGATTTAAATTGAATACACATATTAATTTAACATTATATTTTCCTTCAATTTGAAAAAAAACTATTGAACAATAAAAAAACCCTATGGATAGTTGTACACTTAAAAATATAATCTATATTTTTTCGCAAAAAAATTTTTCTACTAAGTACGTATCTATATAAAGACAGAAAGTTATTTATTCAGCATGACTTCCATTTTTAACATTCATAACTTTTTCAGATGTTTTGCTGGCATGCATAAATGATAGTATTATTATTTATTTCTGTTTGATTAATGCTTTTTGAGTCACTATTAATTTTTGTACATAATGAATGTATAGAATCAATTCAACTACTCATGCATTATATTAATAATTTCTTTGACTTTTAATTGAGATACAATTTGATTATCATTATGAAAAAAATATATTTTTCGATGAAGATGATACTCGGATATCAACTGATAGTAACAATTTTAAAAACATAATCAATAATTATTAATAATATCATTTTTTTTCAATTCCAGATATTACAATCAGGCCTAATTCCTAAACCAGAAACATTGATGTTTGCTCTTGCCGTATGTGCAAAGCAAGACAAAAGTGAAAAATTACGTCAAGCAGCATATAGTTTTGTAGTAGAAGAATGTAAGAATCCAGAACAGTTTATGTTGTTTATAAGTTTTACCTCGCAACTGAGTAAGCAGGCAGCAACTCCTAAACATGGTTATGGTCATGGATGGCGTAACGCCGTAAACAGATGGTATCTTTCACGAAATGCAGTAAATTTGGCAGAATGCGTGACAAAATATAAAAGCAGACATGGTTGGAAGCACAGGGATATCATCAAACTTTCTCATTTGGCGACAAAAGGATTGGGACCGGATGTTCAAGCTGTCTTTAAGTACGTAATGTACGGTTTGGAAAAGGCAAAACTTGAATTTGGGAATGAATTAAAGGCGAGCGAAGTTTTACAATTAGTTGAACGAGTTGAAGATTTTAGACATTGTGAAGACGCCGTGAGAGCAGCAGGTTTAATTCGGACATATAACTATACATTAGATCACATTAATGCTCATCTTATGAAGTATCCAGAAGTGTGGGAGGCTTTAATTGATAACATGGATTTACCAACTCTTCTTGAAAATCTTCAAAGGATTCATAATCTTGGAATTCTTACACCTACATCGCAAGTAACGGAAAAAGTTCTTAGTGCCATCACTAATAAAGATCAGATTTTAAAATCTAAAATTCGTCCTGCTGTATTGCTTATGGTAGTCAGAACATACGAAGATCCAGATAAAGTCCCAGTGTTTATTAAAAGGAAATTAGCAAGAAAAAATAAACTAAAAAATAGACAGCTACCTAATCCTGATAAAAGGATTATCGATGCTTTGTACACAGCATTAAATACATCATGTTCAAACATAGAACCAACAGGATTGAGGTTTTTAATAACTGTAAGTGCTGATGGGTGCAAGAAAAAATCAGTAACTCCAACTCCTTTTGAAGCCTGTAATCCTTGGGTTCTTGAAGCCGCTAGCATTATTGCACTGGGTCTTCTTCGTGCTGAAGATAAAGTTACTGTATCAGCTTTCACTGCTGCTGAAGGTCTTAATGCTCGTCCCGTGCACATCGATAAAAATGCTACGTTCCAAGAAGCGATGGAAAAAATGCGTGCAAGATCCAGTGTTCCACCCAATCTGGGTAAACCCATTCTTTGGGCTGCTCATCATAGAAGAAAGTACGATGTTTTCATTAACGTTGTTGATAAGATGCGTGAAAAATATGACTTTACTGCACGAGCCATGGACCTTTATAAAAAAAAGATGAATTTGCCAAATACAAGGTAAAAAAAAAGTGTTTTTTTCTCAAAATAAATTAATTTATGATACTCATTAGACATTTGTGTTATTTAAATTGCAAATTGCTTATTATTGTATCTCTCATTTTTCCTCTTGTACAGATTAATTAACTGGGTAGTTGGTTCAACATCTACGTACATGGAAGGAAAATATGTCAACGACGTTCTAACCGTTTGCGGATTTGATGTAAATGCTCCTAAAGCCATCGAAGCTTTTGCTAAACGTCAATTTTAATAGGACTGGATGAAAGAAGAAACATGGAGTTGAAGATAGTAAAGAAAATGAAGATGAAAAATTTGAAAATGATGAAAAAAACTCAAGTTAGTTTTCGGATAAAATTACTTATAATTCAATGCAGAAGTAAATTGAAATTGAAATATTGAGAAGTTAAGTATTAGCAAAATTTATATAAATTTTTAATATTCCAGTTAAATCGTAAATTGATTCACAATAAGACTAATCGACGATAAAAAATTTTTACATAAAATAAGAATCAACTTGAAACCGAAAAATAATACAATATACTTTACTAACATTAGAATAATGATATATTATCGCACGGTATTTACTGCATGTTCTCTACAGTGTTTTTAGAATAAAGCTGCGCAGAGGGTTTTCTTTTTTTCTGAAAGAATAACTACTCTCAACAGCATATAAATAGTTAATTTAAAGAAATTTTATCATAGAAAATAATGTATGCAAAAAAGCCATTTCGACGATAGACAAATTAAAACTGTGCACTAGTTTATTATGTACCTCTTTAGAAAATTTAACAATGAAGAAAAAACTGTCGTTTTGTTGCAATTAAACTTCACAATGAAAGATATAATCCAAGTGCGCAGCGTATAATAATTAGTAATTAAATGTAACGCTAAGACTACGCATATATAAATGTGTGTATGATTAGCACGTAACGTAGGATATATTTCTGTGAAGGAACAAACAAAAAATTGCGCTTAACCATCGTTTATTTGCTTTGTCGAATATCAATACGATGGAGAAAATTATGTAAACGAAAAAACGATTAAAGAAATAATTATTTTAAAAAACTGATGAAACTATAGATTTAGATTCGAAAATAAAAAGAAAATGTAATAGATGAAAATGATTCGTTCAAAGCATGTCTCTGTGGGCTATTGAATACTTTAGAACTTAATAAATAATAAAAAAGTTTGTCAAACGTCGAAAATTTTTTAAAAGAAACTAGTAAAAAAAATGAAAGATAAAATTTCTGCCACTGTGATACGCATTTAGCCCCAAAGAGTTATAGACTTACATGAGTTTTATTTAACTGTTATATCTCGATATTTGCCATATCCAAAGTGGAAAGAAAAAATATTAAATAATTATGAAAAATAAAATAGAATACACATATTGATATTTAACTACTGTGATATGACAATCGACGTTTGTTCAAGCTAAAAAGAAAGAAGAATAGTGAGAAAACAAAATGAAAAATCATAAATAATTTAAAGGCTGTACTCAGTTAATAGGTTAAAGGAATTAAAAATAAAATTAAATAATATAAATAATAATGAAAAATATGCAAATGGCCAGAGACATGCTGACATAATATTGTTATTTATCGATTTTATTCAGGATTTACGAACCCGGTGATACTTAAATATATATTTCCGTATATGAATTTATTTATAACATTCGTTGGCTTATAATCTGACTGTGAATTATTGTTTTTCTTTTTTTATATATGCAATTTAAATAGAAAACGTTGGTTAAATATTTCTAAATCAGGATCTTGTTACTTCGCTTGTTACAAATAACGTATTATTCAATTATCGTAGATTAATATAATATTTCTAAAGTTATAAAAATATAGCTGTTCGTGAAAATAACGTAATATAATGTATAACATATATTACATTAATTATTAACTACTTGATGGGTCGATCTACTATTATAGTTAGTTTGATTAAATATTGATTATAGGACTTCTGGCCTACAAAAAAAGAAAAAAAATACTTTGAGAAAAAAAATTTCTATAAGTGATGTGAATATTATAATTAATTCTTTCGTTTAAAATTTTACATTTATAAAATTTTTAACAATTACGTCGCTTCAGTATTTTATCTGAGTAAATCTATTTCTTTTTCATTTTTTCAATTACGTTTTCTGGTTCAATTACATTAATAAACGGAATCATATCGGGAAAAAATTTACAAACGGAAAATATAGAACGAGAAATAATTATACAAATTATAATGTAAGAGAGTATTTATTAATCATAATTTTTTTTCTCAACGTAAAAAAAAAATAAATAATATTTAAATAGTTAAGCTTTTATAAATAACAGTAAAACTGTTTTGTAATCTCTTGGTCATGTGTCCTAGAATTAAAAATAGGTATAGATAAAATATCGAGAAAACAATTGTTAGTCATTAAAAAAAGGAGACTAATTACTATTAATTAGTTGACTCAAAATTCAAGAGGCATTAAAAACAATACGTCTAATGTGTTCAATACTGGTTAGAAGCAATATGCAAAAAATACCTAATTCTTGAAAAGTGAGAAAAAATAATAAAACAGAAAAAAGCCTCGTTGGAAATCAGTCAATATACTTTAATGTTAAAAATTGAATTCTGACTTCACAAGGCTTTCAAATTATTCTCGGATCAATTTTTTAGGAAACAATAAAAATAAAAATTGTAATTTTAACTTATTATTTTAGTGCTAATATTATTATACTAATACAGTACTATCGATAATAATATTAGTAAAATAATAATTAATGATTATTAAGTATATTAATGATTCTCTTAACTTTATGAAATTATTTAATTATTAATTTTATAAATTTTTGGCTGCCACAAATCTATAATCATGATAAAAGAAGAACATTTACAATGTCCTAAATAAAAAATAAAAGTCGTATCGAATTCTGTAAAAACACTCATCAATTCTCGTACACCTTACATAGGTATAGAATTCAATAAATTCAATAACCAAAACAACAAAACAAAATTATGAGCATTATTAAGAAATTTTTAATATTTGAAAAAACTTATCAATTCGATAAATGATTGTAACACGACGTTCACTAGAATGTAAGAAAACGAATTTAAAACCTTATGTGTTTTTCGATAGTACATTTGTACTGTCACAATATAAAAAAATAGACCAAACGATAATATTCAAAAAGTAATAAAATAAATCTAATTTAGGATGATTACAATTTGAATGTAAGAAACTGTATATTTCTTGGTCATGCAAATTAATTGCATTTTCTAGACCCGATAAGTAAAACTTTGAAATAAGTTTACATACAACATTGCCTAACTTTCGGCCTTAATTTTTTATACGAAAAAAACAACTAAATGATTAACTAAACTAATTATTTATTTTATAATTATTAATTACGAACAGAACAAAAATTGTGAAAATTCCATTCTCGAACTAATATTCAACGTACAGATATTTATTTATTTCAATTTTTTATAAAAACAAATCTTTTTTAATTTTTTGACGTTCATATAAATTGCAAAAAAAATTTTTGAAGAGAGTTTAATATATATTCATACAAACAAAAACGGTTTCACAATTTTTATTCAAATAAAACGAAATACTCGTGTCCATAGAAATAGAAAAATCATGTCTAATGACGTAAAACGATTAAACTTAATGACAAAAAGAATGAAAAGAGAAATGCGAATTCTTTGTAATGTTATTTTTATACAAAAGTAATTTCTATCGCGTTGATTCAATAAAATGTGGGATCTGCCGACTCTTGGTGCTCTTTTTAAAACGAATATTTAAAATAATAATGGACAAAATAAGGCGAAACAAATAATTGTAAAAAAACGGTTTAATTATACATATGTGACTCCTCTATTTTCTTGTTTTTTTCTACAATTAAACTTATTGTTATTTAATTATTGTAATTAATGTGTTATAAACAAGGAGTCTGATTTACTTTTTTTGTGATTATCGCATCATTTGTTATAGTATTTGCTCGTTTTTATTCCTCATTCCTTACTTGTTATTAATATCTAAATGTAAAACAGGAAAAATGTGAGATTATTATGTAATTTGTAATTTTACATTTTGTCTAAAACTATTTCTGTTAAACAGTTCATCAAAAATCAAAATTTATTCAAACATGACGAATTATAAACCTTAAATAAATTTTGTTCAACTCAAATATTTGGTATTCATTTATATTCCTTTAATTTTAAATTACAAAAATGCATATGTTATTACTGATAGCAATATTTATTTGCAACAAAAATATTGGAAAAATTTTTAAAACAATCGATAATGAATAATGATTAATTATTTTAACAGTCTAGGATGAGGAAATTCAATGAATAGTCAAAAAATTATTGAAAAAAATGTTTATTATTGTGATACTGATACATGTCATCATCATACACGTCTCATTCATTCACACAAGCAATTCACATATCAATGTATACAAGTACTTTCACGCTTTGTAACATTTGGCGAATGATAAAATCACACGCAATAATAATTCCACTGAATCAATCACATATTATAATTAATTATACAAAACAATTAATAATAAATTAAAGAGGCATATGAGAGTTTTAAATGGAAAAAAAATAAAATCTCGTAAATTTTACGAGATTCTCAAAATAAAGTATTCCATCTTATGTACCACGTAAGGCCTTTTAACTTGGACAAAAAGACATTTGTCGTTTAATTTACATCAATTGCTATTGTTTAACGACCTGGAAAATGCCCGACAGTTTTCCTCGAAACAAAGTACTTTAGAATTAATACTAAAATTATAACTAAAAAAATTCCGCTACTTAAGATCTAGCATTGATTCTAAAGTCATATTTTGCCTCAGGAAGCCTTGGTATTTTTAAAATTTATCAGTCTGAAGTATAAGAAACAGCTTTCATTACTTAAAGCTCATCCTTGAGATCATCTTCTTCACCACCATTTGGTGGAGGAGCACCACCAGCGCCTTGGTACAGTTTAGCAATGATGGGTTGAACGATGTCAGTAAGTTCTTTTTTCTGTTTCTTGTACTCTTCTGGATCAGTATCTTGATTTTCTTCGAGCCATTTGATTTTCTCATCAATTGCAGCCTCCATTTTCTCCTTATCTGAATCACTAATCTTAGCTCCAAGTTTTTCCTTGTCAGCAAGTTGGTTCTTCAACGAGTATGCATACGATTCCAATTCATTACGAGCTTCTACACGCTCTTTAAGTTTCTTGTCTTCATCAGCAAACTTCTCAGCATCTTTAATCATTCTCTCGATATCATCCGGTGTCAACCTGTTCTGGTCATTAGTGATAACAATCTTTTCTCGGTTTCCAGTACCTTTATCTTCAGCAGATACTTGAAGAATACCATTAGCATCAATTTCGAAGGTTACTTCGATTTGAGGAATACCTCTGGGTGCTGGTGGGATACCAGTAAGATCAAATTTACCAAGAAGATGATTATCTTTGGTCATTGGTCGTTCTCCTTCATAGACTTGGATTGTTACGGTATGTTGGTTGTCAGAAGCAGTCGAGAAAATCTGAGATTTTTTAGTGGGAATAACTGTATTTCTTGGGATCAGTTTAGTCATCACTCCTCCAACAGTTTCAATACCCATAGTCAAAGGATTGACATCAAGAAGAACGATAGCATCAGTGTCTTGTTCTCCAGACAATACTCCAGCCTGCACAGCAGCTCCGTAAGCAACAGCTTCATCAGGATTGATACCTCGAGATGGTTCTTTGCCACCAAAGAATTCTTTGACTAGTTGTTGGACCTTTGGAATTCTAGTTGATCCTCCAACAAGTACGATTTCATCAACATCTTTCTTGCTCATATCAGCATCTTCCAATACCTTTTGAACAGGTTTCATTGTACTTTGGAAAAGATCCAAGTTCAATTCTTCGAATTTGGCACGAGTAAGAGTTTCAGAGAAATCGTCTCCATCAAAGAATGACTCAATCTCAATCCTGACTTGATGACTAGCACTTAAAGCTCTCTTGGCTTTTTCAACTTCACGGCGAAGTTTTTGAACTGCTCTGTTATCTTTTCTAATGTCTTTGCCCTTTTTCTTTTTGTATAATTTAATGAAGTAATCCATCACACGTTGATCAAAGTCTTCTCCTCCTAAGTGAGTATCTCCATTGGTAGCAACGACCTCAAAGACTCCATTATCAATAGTCAAAAGACTAACATCAAAAGTACCACCACCAAGATCGAAAACTAAAACATTTTTTTCTCCATCTTTTTTGTCAAGACCATAGGCAATGGCAGCTGCAGTTGGTTCGTTGATAATTCTCATAACTTGAAGACCGGCAATGGCTCCAGCATCCTTTGTAGCTTGACGTTGAGCATCATTGAAGTAAGCAGGAACAGTTACAACGGCATGGGTGACTTTCTTGCCTAAGTATGCTTCAGCGGTTTCTTTCATTTTTCCAAGAACCATGGCAGAGATTTCTTCAGGTGCGAAGATTTTATCTCCATCCTTTGTGGCCACCTTAATATGAGGCTTACTGTTCTTCTCAACAACTTTGAATGGGAAAAACTTGGCATCATGCTGGACTGTTGGGTCTGTCCATTCTCTACCAATTAATCTCTTGGCATCAAAGATAGTATTTTCAGGATTTGTTGTAAGCTGATTCTTGGCTGCATCTCCAATAAGACGCTCTCCATCAGCTGTAAAGGCTACATATGATGGAGTAATTCGGTTACCTTGATCGTTGGCGATAATTTCTACTCGACCATTTTTATAAACACCGACACTGTAAAAAATAACATTAAATATTATTTTAATGTCAACAAATATATGTATTTAAATTGAGCACTTTCTACATTGATAAAATATTTACCATGAGTACGTCGTTCCTAAATCAATACCAATTACAGTTCCAATATCCTCCTTCTCTTTACTATCATCTTTGGCCGTTACAATTGTTGCAACCAACCCTAATATTACCAGAGCTACTGCTCCCTTCATTTTTACGTTTCTATTGTTCAATAATCTGGAAAAAGAAAAGTAATGAAATTTAATAAAATTAGTTAAGAATAGATATTGGAATGGCTTTCAAACAGTTTTAGAATTATATATCTAAGTAATTTGCAGCCTCCACCCAAGTAGTTTGTGACAGAACGTTCTAGTAAGTCGCAAGGTTCAATAGTAGCCACGTAACGGGATATTTGGAATTTTTTACAAATTAACTACAATATATCAAATAGAAAAAGTTTTAATAAAATTTTAATTGAATGATTTTATAAAAATTGGATAATAGTTTATATTTGGAGTAAAGTATTGTTTATCTACCGGTTGCAAAATAAAAATATGGTCACGTTGTCAACCAAAATTTAAAAAAAAAATGAAATAGTTTTTTAATAAAAAGTTAAAATAATGTTCTCATCAATGAAATACATATTATCACCGGGTATAGATGTGTTATAGCTGACTATAACACGTTTGATTGATCTTGAGGAAAGAATTTATAACGGAACAGTCGAGAGAAGAATACGTGGCAAAGCGACTACTTCAGTAAACGAAAAATCAATGAAAAAAATGACAAAAGTCAAAGTAAACACACGAGTGTTTGATAAAAATCATATTAAACGTGAAATTAGTAAATGTTATTACCTTTTAAAAAAATCACAAGATATTTCTGCTATATAACAGAAGACTGACAGTGAATAACACTTCTCACGAACTTATTCAACTTCTCTGACGCTTCGTAAATGACTGACTGAAGAACGGTCTTCACGCCGGCATATTAACGGGATAAATTCGTCGTGGCCTTAGCTGATTGGTCGCTCTCAGACGTCGGTAACGGAAATATCAGTGTTGATACGCTGGGTTCTCAAGAGTTGGCTTTTCACCATTGGCCCACGTCTATCTCATTGCTAACTACTACTTTTACTTGATTTCAGCATTCATGATAGCTTCTCGGCAACTCTTGATTGGTCCAGCACTTTCCATGAATTCAAGTATGAACTTATGAGAATGTAAAGTGGGCTCTTTTTGCATAAGCTTATAATATTTTTGTAAACATGATAAAAATAAATTGATTATTTAGGTATGGTTTGTTTACTAATGTTTTCAAGATTTTTCGTTTATCTATTTGCTTTTTGGTAAGAAATAACAATCATCAAGCAGTCAAATTTTCCCAAAAAATTAGGAACAATAATTCATACAGTCCTGCAGATGATACTTCTGCATACCTAACCTAATTTTTAAATCTAACGGGATTCGGAATTATTTGTCAGGATATTTTCTTCAATTGTATGGAAATACTTCTTTTTATAAATAAATGTTTTCACTATCATTTTGGTATAAGAAAAACGTTTAAATAAGCGCGAATAAATTAAACACGTGTTGATTCAAAAAATAAATTTATTTATTTACAATGATTTCTTAATCCCAGTCATTAAAAACATGCAATTAAAATTACTCCGAAAACCTAGATACATTCTCTATTTCTTCACTATTGATAACGATAAACTTTTAATTGAATTATGCATCCAAGACAACAAATATAATTTCTTTTGTTGGAAAATTTTCTAATTCGTATTTCAAATCAACATGTGTAGCTTAATCAGGTACTTTAATATTTGCTCTTCAGCATTAACATGTCCAAAATCATAGGTGTAAAATAAGTTATAATACAATCAGCTCCTGCTCTTCTCATTGAAAGTAATACTTCATTTAATACACTCTTGAGATCAATTGCTCCATTTTGAGCAGCGTGGTATAGCATTGCATATTCCCCAGAAACTTGATAAATAAATAATGTATAATCTGGAAATTTATCTTTTATTTGTCGAACAATATCCAAGTAAGGCAATCCAGGTTTTACCATTAACATATCAGTACCTTCTTCAACATCTCTAGCCTAAAAAATCATCATGATTATTATCGATACCAATACCAAAGAAATATATATTAATGATAAATTATTCTTCAAATAAATTTTTTTATTTTGATATGGAAAATATGTTATAAAGTTGATAAAACATACTGTGGCTCTCATAGCTAATCCAATACTTCCAGGGGGTAGTTGATAACATTTTCTATCACCAAATTTAGGTGTGGATTTAGCAGCATCTCTGAAAGGTCCATAGAACCCCGATGCAAATTTAGTAGAGTAAGATAAAACAGCAACGTGATGAGATAAATTCGTTGTTTCTAGACTTTTTTTTATGGCACCTATTCTCCCATCCATCATATCAGATGGTGCAATTATATGAGCGCCTAGAGCATACGATAAAAAAAAATTATTTAAAAAATACATTTACTAATAAATATTTTTATTATTTAATTGAAAATTAAAATATTAATTTTTTTAGGAAATTGTAAAAAAAATATTATGAATAATGATACCAATATAAATGTTATTTTGAGATTTTTATACGTTTATAATAATATTGCGTTTATTATGATTTAGTATTGATTTCGACAAAAAATAATACCTGTTTTAGCATATGCGACTGCGATTTCAGCAATTCTTTGGATACTTGCTTTATTATTAATTGTTCCATCATCATAGACGATACCACAATGGCCATGTGTTATGTAAGGACATAAACATACGTCACAAGCAATTACTAAATCTGAAAACCATGATCGCAATAAAGGAAGCGCTTGCATCACAGGATTTAGTGCACTATCTGCATGTGTAGCTGATGTATCCTAAATATGACATAATATAAATTTAAATCATCAGTAGTTGATTATTAATTTTTTTATGAACAATTTGATACCTTCAAGCTTTCTTTTATTATTCCAAATAGTAGTATAGATTGCAGTCCTTTAGCAACTAAGGGCTGAAGCAATGGCTTTAGTTGATTGATACCATATCTAAAAATTCCAGGCATGCTAGGAATTTCTTCCTTGGTATCAATTTTATCTCTACAAAAAAATTGTTCGAAATATTGAAAGTTAATAAATAATTAATGATAATTATGAGAGAATTTTGAAAATTAGAGGTTAGAATTAAGCTCGTACACAATAAAAATAGGATACATCAAGTTGTTTGGAGTAATTGCTAAATTTTTTGATTGCCATTGACGTAAAACAGAATGAAAAATACTACTGTGAAGTCTATTTTTGGCTTTCACTTCAGTCATGATTTATTTCATAAAATAAAAAAAAATTTTAATTAAATACAACACTGTACGCAACTATTGTCGAACTGAGAAAAGAGTTCCTCAGTTGTTTCAATGCTTTCAGGCTCCCCACCACTGATTTTCCACCCCTTCTATCATGTTTTTTGAAGAACATCTGAGAAATTCTATTCTCAGCTCGATTGTATACACCACGTTTGTTAAGTTTTTCCAGATATTATATGTCACAGTTGAACTTCTCTAAAGGTAAAAAATCAAAGCCGGAAGTCCATTGATAAATGTTACATTCTTCCTTCTATCAGAGAAGAAGAACTGGTACAGAAGTTTAATCCTGAATTACAAATCTGGACGAAGTTTGGGTTAACGGATATACATTTGCTCATATAAAATTTTGCTCAACACGATATTTTTTATTCCTACTTCATGAAAATATAATATAATTAATTAATAATTTTTAATTAAATCGATTTTTGGGGCGTATAATACAAGTCATTAATACTATTTTAGCTCTTTAATTATGTTTGATATTTTTGATCCGTAGATCCTAAATTTTTTTCCTACGATTTAGCTTTAAATAATTCTTTTAGTCTTTGAAAAAAATTCAATATTTTATAAAAATGGAATACTTAACCAAACTATCTTATCATCTTCGTTGAATAACTAAGAATTTCTAGTTATGAATTATTAAAAGAAATTTACACTGTCATCATAAGCAATATAGATGCTTACAATGACTAGCGTTATGAAGCTACATAGAAACAATTCAAATTTACCTTAAATTAAAGTCAACTTGGTAATTAAATTGGAAATTAGTATATTTTTCTTAAAATTTATTGGTTTATAATTGATAACATAAAAATATATTTAAAATGTATACAATATTTCAAAGTATTATTATAAAATTTATATCTTCATAACAATTATCATAATAAAAATCTCTTAAAAATAGAAAATAATTTTTTAAAAATGATTTAAAATTATTACATATAGATATAAATGTATATCTAGAGAATTATAACAACAGGTATAACATCAGACTTAGAGTTTCATAAAAATTTATGAATTCAATTTTTAAGAACCATTTGATCGATCTGTATTGACTTCTGCATTCACTTCTGATACCAATTGCTCTGTTACTGTTGAAACTGTTGATTGTCTTCTTTCCGTTACAAGTGTATCTAGATGTAACGAATAAAAATTGTAAACTGGAATTGAGTCATTTCAAAACTTATCCATTATTTTTTTGATTAAATCTATTGTTTTGAATACAAGTTCAAAATTCAATATGTGTGCTATATTTTAATTTCTATATTTTTCGTCAAAATAATTAATTTAATTGTTAATCCTCTTAGCTACCTGCACATTCTGTATTGCAAGATGGGATAGTCTTATATCTTTGGTGTAATTCATTCATGTTGAAATTGAGCAAAGTTGGAGCAAAAGTCCAATAACCAATTGTACTTCCAATGATTAAAGCTAAGAATATGTAAATATTATAACTCATAACAGCTAGCATAAGAAAATATCCCAGAGTAGTATGAGCAGCATAGTGTAGTACCTCTAAAGACCATTGGATTAAACCCAGACTTCAAGAAAAATATGAGAATATGATTAAAAATAATTGTAAAATTCAAATATCAATTGACAATTAAAAGATATTTCAAAAACTGAGAAAAGATAATAAATAGATCATTACCAACGAGAATTGTTAGAGAAACGTGGCAGTTTTGGTATAATATAAGTCAACAATGATGAATTTTCTGTAGTTGGAAAGCTGTCTGATGATAAAGAGGCTTTAGTCATCTGGTGCAGTTTGATTTGTAATGTTTTCATAGCTTCATAAATAATTGCTATTGCAATAATGCTTAAACAAGCCCCAATAAGACCACATAGAGTGCTAATTGTATACCCAGGAAACAAAAAGGTTCCAAGATTAATACCGGACCAAAACCACATATGCATCATCTGTTGTGAGAAGATTAAAAATAATTTAATTAATCAATAAGATCATAACTCTTCATTCAATTATAATTGAGAATTGAATAATTGTGATAGAAACTATTTATTTTTGTTTTATAGCACTAGGTTAGACTTACTTGGGCAATTGCTTTCTTTCTGATTGCAAAATCAAATAATTAAATCAATAAAAATATACAAGTATTTAACACTTAGATACTAACAAGTTTGACATGACACATCATGTAGCCAACAGTATAATAATCCCGTATTGAACTTTATTCTATTTAGTTGAGACATATTAAGATTATATTATAATAAAACTGTAAATATAATTCATATTGTTTTAACATTTTTTCAATTATTATTTTGGTATCTTTAATTTTTTGAGAAGAGAACAATTATCACTCATATCCGATAGTTGCTTAGCAACTTTATATATTTGATAAAATGAGTTATTGAGAGAGGTGACTTACATAGGATATAATCTTTATCATAAAGTATTGGTCATTATATCCCAGCGTACTCTTTAAGGCTGGGCTGAAGTCAGAAAGGCGACTGATTCCCCCTATCCAAATATATGGGTTCGGGAAATTTCTAATTTCTTCGCCAATTTACGATTATTTCTATAAAATTAGGTACCAAATTATAGAGGAATTAATGCCGGACTGACGTAAACAACAATTTTTTGTATATAGTGAATATTTTTATTAAAAAAATTAGAAAGAATAATGAAAAAATTATGAATTGACTTGCCGCGCTTAAATTTCAAGATGGCGGCCACATCATTCAGATGAAAAATCACTAATTATTTCATTTTTATACGTTTTTCGCCCAAAATTCGTGTTTGCGTCAGTCCTTGCCACCTGTCTGAATGTTAAAAAAATCAATTCATAGTATAAAATTGAATAATTTGGAAATAATTAGAAATCTTGTATTCCAGATGATATTCTCCGGAAAATTAGTTTGAAAAAATTCTGATAGGTGACAGCATTATGCTCGCAGATGACCTCAGTCATCCATATTGAAAAAATGCTCAATCCGTATCCAGAACTGATGGTGCCCTGCATTTTGGTGAGTAATTTGTGCATGAGTGTGTACGGGTAATATATGTATGTGATGTAAACATAGTGTATCACTTTACAATGCCCTACACTTTGATGACTATTGCAGTTAGGATAAATAAAAATGATGATACTCATTTAACATTAATTAATATAATACCTGCAAATAACTTCAACAAATATTCATCCATTATTATCATTTTTATTAGGTATAAATGTTAATAAAGAAGCTCAATTCCAAGTCGGCGTATCCAAGCATGTAGTGTAAAAACAAATACACATAAACTCAATATCGAGATTATGCTGGCCATGTGGTTAGAGCGTCAGAGTTCTATTTTGCCGGGCAGGGTTCGATCCCAGTCATAACCAATTTTTTTTTTCTACTTTATTCGTTAGATTAGCATGTAATTATAATATTGACATGCTATAATTAATCTTTTATAACAATTTGATTTTTTTTTCTCTTTATTCATTGAATTTATTGACGCTAAGTCGAAAAATATTTGAACAGAGCCATAAACTTTCTTTTTGTATAAATACATTGATAATAGCCTGTGTTTAACAACTTATACATCTTTACATGTATTAACAATGTTATGTTATTAACAAGTTAATCATATTATTATCAACATTGAAAAGTAGTTTAAACAATCCGTGGCGAGTTCCGGCACTTCGCTGGCAAGCTCTACCCCCACTCTCTATGCCCAAGCCTGCAGCTTATAATTTTTGAGCATATATAAATGTTTTGTAATCATAATAGCTCGGTGGTTAGCGCATCGGTCTTTCATTTTGATGGGCAGGATTCGATTCCAGTCATGGTAAAGTTTTTTTTTTTCTCTTTTATTTGTTAGATTTGCATGTAATTATAATATTAACATGCCAAAAGTAATTGTTTACAACGATTTGATTTTTTTTTCTCAATTATTTATGTAATTTATCGACGCCGAGTCGGAAAACATGAACAGGGTTATAAACACTTTTTTTACTATAGCTATATGAACGTAGCTTTTTTTTAAGCAATTTAGAAATATTTAGAAGTAGTTGAAATAATCCACGGGGATTTCCGGCACTTCGCCGGCAAGCTCTATCCCCACCTTTCGTACTCAAGCCTGCATTATACAATTTATAAACATAAACATGATGTTAGAGATAATATGTTAGCTCTGTAGGTAGAACACCAAGCTTTCATTTTACCAATTAGGGTTCGATCCCAGTCATAGCCAATTTTTTTTTTTCCCTTTTTTTTCATTAAAATTTTATATAAATACAATAATTGGTTGTTTATATAAGTTCAAAATCAATTTCTATTGTCTTTTAAAGACAACACTTTCGAAAAAAAAGAATTCATAGTAACTCGTTCCTCACCCTCAGCTTATTTTCAGAAAAACAAGTTGTTCTCCGTAATTAATTGGAAGAATAATTTAATCAAATATATAAATTAATTTATAAGTATATAAAGTCACTTAAGCAAAAAAAAGAAAAAACAATTGCCTATGACTGGGATCGAACCCTGCCCAGCAAAAAAAAAGATTGGTGCTCTAACCACTGAGCTATTATGGTTTAAATAATATTGAAGATGCTTGAAAATTATAAGCTGCAGGCTTAGGCACAGAGAGTGGGGGTAGAGCTTGCCGGTGAAGTGTCGGAACTCGCCGCGGATTGTTTAAACTATTTTTTATTGTTAATAAGTTGTTAAAAAAGGCTATTATCAATGTATTTGTACAAAAAAAGGTTAATGACCCTGTTCAAATATTATCTCATTTGTCATCGATTGATTGAAAAATAATTTTACATAAAAATTGAAATTTAAAACTCATTTCTGGCATGATAAAATTGCAATTACATGCAATTTGAATTAAAAAAAAAAAATTTTCCGCAATTGGAATCGAACACCGTTTGGTAAAATAAATGTCGAATCTTCTGACTACAGAGCCAACATATTTTCATTTGCTTTGTTTACGTTTAGATATCATAAGCTTCAGGCTTGGTAACAGAGGGTGGGGGATGTACTTGCTCGTCAACTGTTCGAACTCGCAGTCTTCTGTGAAAAATAAGACGGAGATAGATAGATATATTCTGTGCTCTGTCTTGCTCGAAACAGATTATTCAAAAATTTGTAAATTTCTTGGTGCCCTAAGGCTCCCTTTTTGTAGTGCATCCCTGAAAATTATCATTTTTCGAACGATTTCACTGTTACCTACTCAATTTCAGTTGATGTCAAGCTTCGGCCTTTTGCCGCACAACACGAGGGCGTAAAGTCAACTCCGGGAAACTTTCTGCTTCAGCCCAGCCTTAAAATGAATAATAAAAAATGTTAACAATTATTTTTCAATTTTTGTCTTACAATTAACAACGAAAGTGCAACCAGGTGTTTAAACGGGGTCAAAAACCCCTTTCTCACTCAGCTTCATGAACGGTAGCTTTTTTTTTAATGAAACATATAAAAATTATTTTTAAATAATCAGCGGCGAGTTCTGGCACTTTGCTGGCAAATTCCATTTCTTTCATTTTGCCAGGCGAGGTTCGATCCCAGTCATGGCAATTTTTTTTTACCTTCTTTTAATTGTATATTATTGCAATTCGTACGTGCTAGAATAAAAATAAATCATATTTAGAATTTTTTTTCCTTATTCTCTTCAATATTAAGCGCGAAAAAGTGACAAAGTATTGAAACGGAATCACTAATCACTTTTTCATACATTTTAATAAATAATTGATTTTTATTTCATAATTTCAATCCTTATTAAAAATTACTATACACATTGTGAAAAATACTATGAACATTGTTGAATTTACTAAACTGCATAGTTATTTTTACTCTAATTTCACCCTTGAAATTACTATGTAGTTTAGTACATTCAATAATGTGCACAGTATTTTTTACAATGTGTATAGTAATTTTTACCGTCACCCTGCGGTGTCATCAAATTACCATAAAATTTAGGGTAATTTTTACTATAAATTTCTCTGCGTGTACTCTTGAATGTTCGTTTTTATGTTTACTTATGCAGTTGATGTATAAAAACACAATTGCACTTGTATTTACACAAAAATATCACAGCGAAAATTACATGATGTGCACAGGTCGAAAATAAAATCTCATGTGATTGAAAAACCCTTCTAGTTAGATAACTAGTTCTGAGGCACCTCCTGGTGGTGAAATGTAATGAAATGTCACCATGCGCCACCTAGTAACATATTGAATACAAAATAAAATTGATAAAATAAAGTATTATTAAGGCTGGGCTTTACTACCCTCAAATCACCTCAAATTTTTCTCGTCAAACTGTGCATTTTTTATTTGTTTTTTTCATGTAAAAAATATTTAGGAATATTTAGAAAAGTGGCATACACATCGGAAAACAAAGATTTTTCGTACCAGTGTAATAATAATCGTAGAATAAATAACTTTTCAGTGAAGGGCTCATGACAAGTGCATCCGCCATGACACCTCAAAATTCACTGAACAGTTATTTATTCTACGATTATTATTACACTGGTACGAAAAATCTTTGTTTTCCGATGTGTATGCCACTTTTCTAAATATTCCTAAATATTTTTTACATGAAAAAAACAAATAAAAAATGCACAGTTTGACGAGAAAAATTTGAGGTGATTTGAGGTTAGTAAAGCCCAGCCTTAATTAATTTGCTTTAGAAAATATGATTATACAATAGAAGTGAAAACATTATGAGTATTTCAAACTAAATTTAGTTAAATTTAGTTAACTGTACTCTTTAAGATTAATATTCAAAAATATTGTACATATTTTTCATAATTAATTACAGTTAATATTTGTATACATATATTAAATTAGTATTCTTGAATAGTACATTTCAAATTGAGATATAAAATTATCTTCAAATTAAATTTACTTGAAAGATGTGTAGACTAAATCTGTGATCTTGGAAGTATAATAATTAGTACACTATTTAAAGACTTGTTTTCAAAAACTTATTACATGAAATTAATTAAAATTCATTAGATGTGTAATCTCAAATTATGTATTTTTTTATATCTAAATGTTTTATATAGTATATTTTGAAGTTATAATCAGGGTTATGACTCTAAATATATTGTATATATTCATTATCTACTCTATTGATGTAGAATATCATCAATTAAACTGTTCATTTATTTCATATTCAGTCATTTTCTTGTAGTAATTGTTCTAGAACATTTATAAACTTATTGTAAACACCTATCTATTCAAGTTAATTGGAATTCGTTATAACTATGTTAACGAAAAAATAACAATTTTCAATTAAATTCTATGTCTAGTCATTAGTTCATAATTATCAGTTATTAAGAGTAAATTTTTTCAAAGACGCTATCGGCTATATAACTCTATGAAAATCTCGAACTTTTGGGTGTACAATAAAATTTATTCAATACCTGATACACTCTCCAAAATGTAGAGACAATAAAATATTTAAAATTAATGATCCAGAGTAACAGTAACAAGTCATTTCAACCTTAAAAAATGCAATAAAATCTAAAATAGAATAAAGGCAGAAATTTAGGGTAATAATGTACCTGAACTCTTTTAAATGAGGATTGAAATGAGAAAATCCTCTGAAAATTTTTAAAATCACGTAAAAATACTTTGAAATAGACAAAACTAGTTTTCTTTAGAACGAAGATGTACAAATCTAATTGTAAATTACCAAAACTTTAAAAGAAGCCTTTAACTATTTCATAGTACCTCTATTTTTAAATATTTTTCCCCGTTTGAATCATCATTTACAAGTGTTCAGGTAGATTTTGACCCTAAATTTCTATCTAACATCTCTTCATAAATTTTATTGTGTTCCTTGAGTAATAAGAGCTTTTATTTCAAGATATTTAATGCATTATCTATTCCTTGTCTTGATCTTTTTAGCTCTGAACACCAAATGTACCATACAACCGTTAATTTCCAATTCTACCTTTCTATAAATTTTAGCCTAACTAAAATTTAAACTTCTAATGTGTAAATTTAATTTATTTATAATTCTCAATCAGAAAGAGACTTCAACTATTTAGGGAAGACAGTAATCTTTGATAACACTGCATTTATATCCGGTCCTGTACACAAGGATGGATTCATTCATCTGAACGAAATTAGTTAAGTATCGGTCGAGTTGGAAAAATATGACACATTGCCAAAAATTTATGAAGTTGATGAAATTGAATCACTATTAGACTTGTAATTGGTTATGAAATATGTCAATTATTATTTGATAATTGTTAGGATACCGGAGGTTGTGAGGAAGTTGCTATTTACGATTTTGATGTCACAATAAATATAATTTTATTAATGGTCTTGAAGCATTTCACAAACATAAAAAAGGTAATTATGTAACGAGCAATTTTCAGAGGATGACGATGAGATGCTGGGTGGTGATGATTCCTGGTGGCGTGAAAAAATCCTGTCGTCACTTCTGGAAGCTGGGCCTGGAGAATCACAAATTTCAAAGAGACAAGATCACAGAATGAGATAACCAACGTAGTGGTCGCTAAGATTGTTGTGAGGACGAACTGTCCACCGTCATGAAACACGGTTTCACTCTGAAGGTGGACAGACCATAGAATTGAACAATGCAACAAGTTATCACTAACCCCAACGTGGAGTCTTGTGCACTAAGCGATGACACACACGGTGTGTCCCTAGGCCTTATATCAAGGACCACGTAATTGCACCAAAGAACGAAAAAGAATACAGAGATATTCTTTACACTGTGGGTGATTAAAGAAAAGGTTCCCGGAAAGAAATTCAGAAGACGAGTAAAAGTCGCGACGCGTGGAAAGAAGAAAAGGAACCGAACTGAAAGTGTCGAAGGATCAGACAGAACTGGCTGGGTCCTGAGAAAAAGGAGAGGGGTGATAAGAAAAAAGGAAAGGCCTGGTCTTTTGTTCAGGACTCTGGGTTTTTTAGTGTTGAGAACATGGAAAGTTCTTCACACATCTGGCAGGAGGAAAATTCCACCCGTTGGTGACCACATGTTTGCAGGCTGTGAAAGGCTTAAGTGCAAACATGGGAAATCACCGCCATAAAAAAGTTTAGGCGTGCAGGTACACGTGTGCGTGAGGAACCATGAGAACGCTCATGCTTCCCATTTTTTATTTTTTGTGAGGAGAGATTATAAGAGAAAATGAATGAGGTTATTCTTACCAAATTTCAAACAATAATACTAGTTGATAGGAACTATAGATTACATGGTTTTTTTTTCATAGATAGTTTCCATAAAAATTCAAAAAGTCAAATTGTTTATAATATTTAAAAACGAAGGATTACATATTTTATAAAAAAAATGTACCAAAAAATTAACTAAATAAATGTTTATGACAATTTTCAATACATTTATTATTTCTGTCCTAATAGTCAAAAATAGAAAGAATTTTTTAATTAGAAATTACAAAATTTCTTTTTTCATCGTATAATAATTAGTTTTAAATTAACAAGTGTTAAAAGCAAAGTTAACGTGGGCAAATTGGTAAGTAAGTTCAAAAGTAAGCCATTTTTGCGGTAAAAAGTCCATTATAATTACATTCGTTTACATAGATGCGAATGACCGATAATTTACGGTAATAACGCTGACCGACGGCTTGACGGTAAATTTTACATTCAGAATTTTTTGACGTCAGAATACCATCGAAAACTGGTAATTTTATGCGATAATGACCGAATTTTTAGCGTATTCGGTTTCTGACCCGAAGCTGTCCAGGGTAGGCCCGGAAACATCTGAACATTGACGAACTGTACCGACAACGGCTTGAATCGTCTTTTTTTAAATAATATCAACATATAACAGAGAGAAGTCTTCTCTCTGCATATAATATAATAATAATAATAATAATAATATATAATCGGAGCAGTTTGTCAATGTTCGGGTGTTTCCGGGCCTGCCCTGGGCAGCTTCAGGTTAGAAACCGAATACGCTATTTGATTACCGGTAAATTCAAATTTCTATAGTCGTCTCAGATGAAAATTGCATGTTCTCAGTTGGTGACGAGGAAGCAAATATGGCCATGACGCAAAACAAAATGGCCGTTTCAGGACAAAAAGGACTTAAATAGCAAAAAATTGCGTCGTGTTTTGAGGTAGACTGTTCAGAAAACTAGAAAATCTTAGATAAGTATACATTTTTTTCTTTTAAAGTAAGATATAATTTATAAAACAATTATATCGTTTGTTTTTAAATAATCACATAATTATTATAAGAAAAGAATTAAATATTGCAATTGTCTTGATATTACTATAGAAGCTGATGTAAATAATATGGAGATATATTGTAAAACTAAATTTTGCTATTATGTGCATAATATTAAACAAATAATTTGTAAATAATTGAATATTTTCTCAAAAATTATAACTGAATATTGCTATTACATGGATATATTACACTGAAATTGCTGTTAGTGTGCTGGTAAAAATAATATGGAAATATATTATAATACTAAATATTGCTATTACATATGAATGATAAAATAAAAATTGCTATAAGTCATTAATGAATATTTTTTAGGATGATTGAAAATAGATATATATATATATATATATATATATATATATATATATATATTACATATATATATTGTCAAATATGAATACATAAAACTGAATATTGCTACTACATGGATATATTATACTGAAATTGCTTTAGTGTGCTGGTAAAAATAATATGGAAATATATTATAAAACTAAATATTGCTAATATATTATATTTATCGAACGGAAGTTATTGTAGATATTTGTTTAATTTTGTGTAAAGAAACCGAAAATAAATATTCTTGTTATATGGATAATATAATAACTGAAGTTACTTTGGATAACATTTTGATAAACCTGAATTCAATGAATATTGCTAAAAAATGATAGTTTATACATTATACTGAATATTCACTGAACATAAAAATTATTTGTATGACTCATGACGACTTGTTGAGCATTTGTTGATCCAAAGAGTAAGTTGACATTGCTTATTGCGAACCAGATGTTTCAAGAAGTCATTTGAAGTCAATTAATAATTGTTGTTAAGTTTAGTAGCCAATATATTCTCTATAAATATCATATTTATAATCTAAATTTTTTTTCTAATGATGAACACATATGAAGTATCCAAAATGAAAATGGTGAGATACAATTATATTAAAAATATAAATGCTGTTACATTTTATTTCAGCACGTTATAATACAAATAAATGGTGAAATCGATTTGTTTTGTTATAGTTTAACATCATCACAATATATTATCAATACTATCTATGATTTTAACTTGTAAGTTTCGCAATGATTTATTTTTCAGAATTTCCACGGACAAAATAAACTGCAACCTATAAAAATATTTTAATTGATGCAATTGTAATGAAGAAAAGAATGTAGAATTTATGTATTAAAAGAAAATTTTTAAGATGAAACAATTTATTTATTATTATTATTAAATAACAATGTAAAGATGAAAGTAAAAAATTTATAATGTAATTTATTTTTGACATAATGTTTGTTTTTATGTAGAACTCCAACCAATATTTTAGTCAATTTATCCTAAGACTTGTAGTTAGATAAAAAATTTGTTATTCACAAATGTTTATATAGTATAAGAATGAAAAAAATACTTGAAAATGGACAGAAAGACTTTTTTACAATTAAGTAATAAAATTGTTTTTTACAAATTTTGTCGATGTTACAAGTGAATTTTACTTATATTACCTAAATACATGTGGAACATCGTATCTGTATACCTCTTAATCAATAGTTATCAAGTTTTAATTAAGTTATGCTTCTTAAATGAACAAATTCAAACGATATTTCAAATTTAATTAAATGTTATTTCTTCTCACTACTTTTTTACACTATTACTCAAATATTATTAATTTATGTCCCTGGAAAAAATTCTTCAATATATTAAAGATAATGCTTTTAAATACAATTCTAATTTTCACGCACCAGTCAACTTTCTTTTGCTCTCTCGATCATGCATTCATTTGTTCCATCTTAAATACTATAGAAAATTATCCTAATTTCTCATCGTACGTCTGTCATACGTCTTCAATTATCCATTTAGTTTTGTTTACGTTAAAAATTGTCCCTTGTTTGCTCACAAATCAGAAAACGATGAGGTATGCTTCGTAACAACGATATATCCAAATCGAATGTGAAAAATCACTCTAGTTACGCGAAAATAAATGGGACATTCTTCAATCTAAAAATTCTTCAATCTCTCTCTTCTTTATACTCATTTTTCCCGCTACATTACTATTGCAGCAAAACCCGAATAAAGAATACATATCCACATTAAATGATAATAAAAATGGAGCGGATTTAAAATCAATTTCAAACGCGATCTGTTTAGAGTCTATATAAGGAGAGAGATATATAAAAAATAATTACTTTATTTTGAACAATAAATTTTGGTCATAATATTAAGTTTTAACGTTTTCCGTTATTATAGATGGTACTACGTAAAGGTGCCTTGAATGTTGCTGCCGATTGTTGTTGTATTTGATATGCTAGCGGATGAATTTTAAAGCCATATAATCTGTAATTCACCAAAAAAATCATATTTGAGTTATTTTCATTCACTCGACTTTGAATCAAATCAATTGAATATTAATGTACCTTGGAACAAATTGATTTGCAGCTCGCTTAGGTCGATATTCAGGGTGAACCATGAAAAGCATATGCGGAAATCCGGTGCCAAAATAGGCGCCGTCATTGTGATGATGTCGTGTGCTTTTTGGTGTATAGACATCCATGCACTTGGGACAGTAATTTTTTACCATGGCTTCACCAGGAACATCACTCAGTCCCAGTGGCAACATTTGCTGTGATTCACAATATACCCGAGGACAATAACCAAAATCACCAGCCTGATATTTTTCAATCATTTGAGCTATTCCACGATTTGTCAAGATGTAGCGAGCATGGATGAGGCCATAGAGCATTTCTGCTGCTTGTTCGATCAAATCTGACTGGTTAGGATTATCGTCTAAATCATCATCTGTAAAATTCCAATGAACACTATTGAAAACTTTCTTTCAGTAAAAATTTTTAAATTCTACTCCAAAACAACATACTCTAAAATATTTTGTTTATGTTACAAAATTGTTTTTATAAATAAACTTTTCATTGATATTTTATTATCAACGCACTTAATGAAACAATAAAGCTTATTTCATAATTATGTGATTGTTTTAAACACTACCTCATACTTAAATATATAAATATATATCATACTCACCAGGCTCCAAATCTAAGATCATGTCTAAAGCCTGTCGATAATGAGGAACTTGTTCACTCAACCCAGTAAGGTTGAATTTGTCTTGAATATAGTCTTCATCGACCTGAAATTTAAATAAAAGATGAAAATAATAGAAATATTGATTCTTAAATGGAAAAGTTAAATACTTACCTCGCAGAAAAATTCATTGCCTCTGAGTCCGCAAAACCATGAGATCCATGACACCTCTTCCGAGCTGCTCATCTTCAATCTTAAATACAAAAATATTCGAGAAAATTAAAGATTCTGATTGTGAATGTGGTTTATATTATTTCGCGAGGAGGTGGGGAATGGAATGCTCACGACGCGTTGGAGAGGTGAATATTTTTTGAAATGACGAAGCTCTAGAAGGAAATGTGATCAAGTAAGGCAGTATGAATGTTAGAAAGAGACAAAATCAACTCGCGGCGCAGGTTCCAGTGACGGTGAGTATTGAACCACGCAAGAAAAACTGGAAAGAATTAACTCACGTGAAGATTTGATGAGCGATGATTATTATTAAGTGATTGAATGATGAGAAGCAAATTTAAAATGAAATTTAGCAACCAAGAAAGAGGTTGAGACAGGAAAAGGTTGATTTTCGGGGATAGACACTCGGCCAAACAAAATGCTCAATGGCCGCGAGTCGTCGCCCCATGTTCGAGCTTCACCTACGTTTCCGTGGTCATCGTTGCCTTTGTCAGAAAAGCCTCGAGCAAAATTCAGTACGATACGCACACGGAGAACGCATAACTCGTGAAAAAACCGACGTGGTAACGAATTACCTAAGCGAAAAACCAAAAATAAACAGTCCGCACGGCTTACCTTCGGTGTCTCGATTAGCCACGCCACGGTGTATTTATCTTAAATCATGGTCATATTTTCCTCGTATTTCCGTAGAGAGCGCTCGTGTTTAAGAAGACGAAACCAGCGCCAATTGCGGCAAATTTAAAATTAATAAAATATTGATAATTCTAAATGCATTTTAAAAATAATCTTTTGTAGGTTAAATAAGAATTTTCACTGCAGAGCCATCACAATCAACGACATCATGAGTCCTTTCATATTTTCTGTCTGCGCGGCATCCTGTTGAAGAGAAGGGGGCTCAATAAACAGAGGTTAACTTTATCGAACACAACTACCCTAGTCAGCAAGACTCGAGTATATACAATAAGCTCCCGTCAGTACTCTTACTGAACTCTCGAACGATTGTTGTGTTACATAGGTGATGTCATCACTGTCAAACTGTAAGTGGGAAACATTGAAGCCGCGAACACTCGTGAATATATCTTTCGTAACTGAGAATTTTTTTATGCGCCAGAACGTGATTCAATATCTTTAATAAATGATAAATTATCATCTCAGTCGTTCAACATTGGATTTTCAGTGATCAACATTTCTATGGACACTTTTGAGTCATAAGGCTTAACAACGGTCAACCCACTCTTCTTCTTTACTACTTGTGGACGACGTATGTGCTAATTGACCGGGTCTAATAAGTGACTCGGCTCTTGGCCATGCCAGACTTGTAAATTTTCTCCTTCCGTGTCCAACAATAGGTGAGTTGATTCCAGAATATATTAAATAAACATACAAGCTCTGCGTTCAGTTTATTTATTTTTAGATTAACGAATTTAGAATACGTACGTTCGCAATCACGCCTGTCAGAAGTCGGTCGAACTGTGCATTTCCTTTACTCTCATTTACTGTAATACTAAGTTGAAGAAGATTTACTAGCCTTTTTAACGTCTTCGAACAAAGAAAACATCTAGATATTCTATTACGATCACGAAAAATCATTCATTTCATCTAACTCTTAATGAAAATAATTACTTGAGGGGTTAAGAAAAGTAAAAAAATTCTGATAAATGTTTGCCAAGTGTTTCTCCAAGAAATGCTCATCCTACGAGTCAACGGTAAGGTTCATTGATCTCCAGATTCTGTACCAAAGAGCACAAATTGCTGTTGGGAGTCCCACAATGGATGTTTCACATCAATGAAAAGCTAGAGTTGTTTAAGCACAACCTTGACGTCCCGTGTAATATCTTCCGTACGTCAAGACACTAGACAACTAACTAGAGTAGTATTTAACGTGATTTTAAATTGAGATAATTATAATTCCATTAATTTAGCAATTTATTTAATTTCCTTTGATTGAGCATTAAACTCCAACAATAAAAATCATGTAGGCTATGCCAAGAATTGGTTCATTGTTTCATTCAACTTTTTTATTACTTATTATTAGAACATTGTTCAGCAAATATTAATATCAACATTGATCTTTGAAATTAACTGCTATGAGTAATTCTTAGAGATTTAAATCTGAATGTTATCAGGAATTGATTACGTAAAAAGGATAATGACTCATTTAAATCAGATTTAAAACTGGATTTGATAAAAACAATATCTTTTTTATTTTATTTTTCTTGAATATTTTCAGGACCGAGAAATGGCTCTTCTGAAGATGAGTTCCAAAAAATGGCTCTCGTCTGGATACCCATCTCTTTTACCGGACGATAGACCAATTACTGCCATCAGTGTTGTTGAAGACATCGATAAATGCCCACCAAACTTCACTGTGGTAATGCTATAGACTATGTTGCTATAGACTTGAGTTAAAATCCGTTAAAATGGAGTAGAGGACTTTGAATGATTTTTATGAATAAATTAACTACCCTAGAATTTTACTGAATATATTGATAAACTGTCAGATACTTCTTCATACTTATTCATTCAATTTTTTTATTTGATTGTTAGTAAATGAATCCTTGACATAATTCCTTTCTTTCGTCTATTTTTTAGATATCAAAAACGTATGACCAAGACATAGATGCTGATCTTTGGAGAGAGAGTGGCTTATTCATCAAGAAAAAAGGGAGATACATCTGTCATTCAAAAACGGAAGGAGTCCCAAATTATGTTGTTCAAGAAATAACGGTCATAAATGAAAGGGAGTCCCCTCCAGACGGATACAGTATGATTCCTCAAACAATAGACACTGGTAAACAGTTTCGCTTTTAATTTTGTTGTTATCTCAGCTATTACAGTAACGAGCTAACTGTGAACAGTAGGCTTATCGTAACTTTCCTTGCTATATCATCACTTTTAATTTTTTTAGATCAAAAAGCCTGGAGAAAGAAACAGGTGTGTTATAAACTAAGGAATCGAGATGCTTGTATGGTAGCTGTGACGGATATTATCGTCTGTAGTAGAATCAAAAAAGCACCAACTGGCTTCACATATGCTGGGTAAACATTTTATCTAGACTCGATAAAACTTACTTTATGTCTTTGTGTCGGCTGTTATATCTTACATCATTTTTTCTCTTCAGAGAGGTCAATGGAGTCATTATTTGTTACAAACTCAGCGCAATTACCAATAGAGAGCCTGGTTCACAATCACAATCCTACGAAAATATTAAGTAAGTTACTTTATGTTAATTTTTACTCTAAACGTTGATTTCATAAATCTGAAACTTCATAATAAGTTTATTACTCAAATCAGATAGATTGTAGTATAGCACTTATTTACTTTTTAGTAAAAATTAATTAAATAGATACAGTGATAACAGAAGTCGTTGTAAAGAAACAAATACTTTTGTGCTTTTCAATAAAAGTTAATGCCTACAGTGCAGAAGAATCTTCTGATAACAAAGTAATGATCGAACGCAAAAATGGCACTATCAGTGCTCAACTATCATAGAGATAAACTAGTCATATAAAAAGAATTCTCATTTTTCGATTATAGTCTTTTATATAATAAAATTAATTCAATCAAATCTAGGTACTGTGTTAAATCAACACGTCAGTAATTTCATATTGATTGACTTTTTAAATCAACAATTGATGTTTCAAAAAGCCAAAATTTTTCTAAAAATACTGTATTTAGTTACAATTAAAATTTAATTACTTATTAGCTTTTAAATTATTTTGTCATGATATTTTCATGGATCATTCGTTTTACAGTGTATTACAAACTCCTTCGCCGAATCCATCAAATGGAATTTCAAACTCTCATCGAGCGCCACCAGAACGACCACCGAAGCCAAAGTTTTCACCTAAACCACAAAATGGAATTTATCCTCAGGTGTCAGGTGGTGGTTTATTAACAAAAAAGGAGGTCGATGAGTCCTTAGATCGTGACTATGAAGTATTAAGTCCAAGTGCAAGAATCAAACCAACAAGACCAGCACCTGAACCCCCTATCACGTCTTCCTTTAGCAATTCAATGCCTCTCTATGGCACACTGCCAGGCTCCTCTGACTTGGATGGAGTTCCTTTCGTATTGAATCCTCTTCTCAGTCTCCATTCAGATCCAGATTTTGTAAGTACAAACTATTAAATGTACATCAAAGTATTTACAAAATTTACTTTTTTGGTTTCAATTCAGCTCAATGAATGTAGAAAATATTTTTGCTTGACCTCTTATTATTTATTACATTATTGATATGCTTAATTAAGAATTGTATGTTTAATAACATTATTTAAAATAAAAGAATTCCTTTTAAAATTTTTAAACAAGGTCATAATTACAATTGTAATAATTGAATCGATATACTTTTTGATATCTGCATAATCAATTTACGAAAATTGTCAACAGTCTTTTTAATTAATTGTAATTATGTTAATGTATGATTTTATTCAAAGTGATTTTTTTAAAACAAATTCAATTATTAAAATATTTTTAATTTCAGAAATTTCCTGTGATTAAGGCGCGAACTAGACGTGAGATAGATAAAGAGTATTATTATGACTTCCGTGCTGAAAAAGAAACTTAAAAGAAAATCAACAAACATCGTGCCAAACGAATTGTACCAAGTACCATATTATTGTTAATTGAAGCAGCTATATCCGAACGTTTTGTATCGATAATATAGCATAGCCATATTGTAATAGAGTGCCTGAATGAGTGAACTGTACTAATCACGTGAAATTAGACTGTGTGATTGACACAGGATGACAGAGTTTACAGATTTTGTAATTTAAAATGTTCTCAATTTGAACTGTTTTACAATTAAAGCTTTGTTTCTTCATATCTTCCATTTAAATTTTTGATACCAACGATGATAATTAGTATTGTATTTTTATAGAATTTCGTTGTATGTATTTTTATAGGGATTAGACGTTTATAATTGTATCATATGTACTAGTTACTTATAAGATGACAGATATTTAATATTATAATTATTATTGCACTATCATGAGTTTTCTTACTTTAACATCAAAATACATCACTGCAATAAAAGACTTTTATTAAAACTTGACTATTCGACAATTTATTCACTTTGATGATAGATTACTTCAACAACATAAGCAACTATTTATAATTCAATTTAATTACAAAAATGTTAGATGATTTGATGGAGAAAACAGAAATTTCTTGAATAATTCTATTATTGAACAAATCTTTATACAATTTTAATAGTTAAAGTTTAAAGTACTATACATATAATATACATATTGGTTTGTGTATAAAAAGCTATTCTCAATTGAAAACATAGAGATGAATTTATAAATAATCTCGTAGATATTTTAAGTGAAAAAGAAAAAAATAAAAAAGTTATAAGAAATAACGTTTTATTTATCAAAAAAGTGTAACATCAATAACGAGTTATGATCTAAAATTTTACAATACTTGTCGGTAATGTAATCTAATCTAAAATTGGAACATCAACGATTGATTGACATGACAAGATAAATAATTCTGTTACAAGAATGACTTTCATGAAATCTCCCCAAGGCAGTCAATTATATTTTTTTAACGTGAGATCAACAGTGTAAGGAAAATATTGATTTCACGGCTCAATGGTTATGTCCTTGAAGTTTTCGCCAAGCTCGAATTCGTTTGAGTGGTGAGCTGTGACTTGAAGCAACTTTTCTAGGACTTGTTTCTGTTAATTGTTCATTGCTACCAAAAACCGAGGCTATCAGTCATCATACGAAAGGTCCTGTCCAATGTCTAACATATGTATGTGTATTTCCCGCCGTTGAAACCCCCTGTTTTTCAGTAACGGCTTTGATTTTATTCTTGTACTTGATGTCCTTGGGTTTTAACACGCTCTTATGATTACTGATCAGCCTCGAGGGTGTTAAAATCGATTTATTGCTGAGACCAGTAGCTTCAAGAAAATTATCATAAACTCCGTTTGAATTAATAGCCGAATAGTTGACATTATTATTATTAGTGCTTGCAATACTGTAGGAATCTCCTTGCTTATTGAAAGCTGGAGAATTGCCAAGCCTATCTGATCCATCGCCTTCGGGTCGGTCCGGATCATCAGAAAGATCACACTCATCTAAATTGAACTCCTCAAACGCCTGCCTGATATCGATTTCTTCCATTTCTGCCACTGGCTGACGCTCCTTGATTTTTCTCTTGATGTTATCTGCTTCACAACCAATTTTAAATTCTTCAAAATGACGTACCATGTTTGTTACACGTGGACTATTAGATGTATCTTTTAAAATACTTACTTTATGTGCTTCTTTTTCTTTGATTGATGATTTAAATTTATTTTCTTGAAAATTATTATTGATCAAAGAGGATTTTACTACTTTATCATCAAAAATTAAAGATTTTACTGACGAAACAGATGATTTCGTCGGTGTAGATATACCAAAAATTCTTTTAACATATCCTGGAGTATTATTATTGATATTAGAAGAATGTTTTTTACGAGTTTCATCAATAAAAAATGAAGGACTAGGTATTTTTTTCAAGACCAAGGTGTTATTACGAAATTGTGGTTTAGGAGGCAGAGCCGGAGGAGTTTTAGGTGTTGTCATAATCTCTGGTAACGATTCAATATCTTCATAATCTAAATTCTTGGCTATTGTCAGTCCCTTTGATGACATTGACAAACAAGTTTTCTCTTCAATTCTCTCTAGCCTTAATATAGGGCTTGGAGTGCAGTTTGATGATTTAGATTTGATTGATAGATTTGGAGATGTTGATGTCTCACTTATAGTATCTACCTCAACTTTGGGTTCTATGATGACAATAGGAATTGCTCGAGCTGATTGAGAGTCTCCAATATCTTCTTCTGGACTTGATTCTGAGTCAATACTTGATGGTGGAATTCTTAAGGTAACATTAGTATTAATAATTCTCGCTCCAAATTCATCTTCTGGTTTTGCGTCATCTAACTCACCAGCTTCCACTTCTTTATCCATTGATGTTTCTTCAGAATTCTTTCTTTCCATCTCAGATCCTACTGACTCTATATCAGATAATCTTGCTGGTTGGAATCTTACAATTCTTCCACGATGTTTAAATGTCCTTGGAGCCGATAAAACGCTTTCCTCTTCCTCCATGTCTCTCAGAAGAATCTGATTCACACATTCCAGCACAGAATTGTGATTGCTGTTTGAACGATATACATTGTGTTGAATCGTTTCATCACTTATTCTATCTTCATCTGGATCACTATACCAATTTCCACTAGTTTCTTCAGCATGCTTTTCCTCCCCTATTTTTCCTATTTGATCCTTAGTACTAAATGAATTCTGTCTCTTCATAATTCTTTCATTTTTCAATTCTTTCAAATTTTTAGCATTATTTTCTTTATAAGAATTCACGTAAATTGGCTCGAGTTCTTCATCTTCAGAAATGAAGTTACAATCCATTCCATCATCTTTACTATCGCTACGAGATATCTTTGTCACTTGATTCTCGTAGATCTCTAGGGGCTCGGATCGTACAACTCCATTGCGTCTCTGGGGAAATTTATCATCTTCTATCTCACAATCTTTTAAATCATCTAAGATTGTTTGTGTAGCTTCAGTATCACTTTCAGAGGTCGTTCGTCTGCTCGATTTATTCAATGTTGATCCAGGCGATACGTCGGAACTTTCTCCTTCACAAAACCCCTCGGTACTCACTAACGAAGGACTACCATCAGTGGTGGTTGTCACAATGGATCCATCAATATTCTCACTTGTAATACTTTCTTTAGAAACATCACTACCAGCGAAACTGTCTGTTTTTTTTACACCAAACTCTTTACTTCTACTTTTCTCCTCACCATTCAATTTCGTAATTATTTCTCTCTTTAATTGTTGAATATCTTTTGCAACACTTCCATCATCGAGCCTTAAATTAGAATCCTCATCATCAATTTCAGGATTTTCGCTAATGTCCTCGGTTTTTTCTAAAAAACTATTAAGAGAGTTTTTCTCTCTGGTATTTTTAATATAATTTTTTGTATACCGACGTAGTCTAGCTATTTCTATTTGCTGATTTCTAATAACATTGTCCTTTTCACATAACTGCTGGCGAATTGATTTTTGTTCTTGCCTCAATCGTGACTCGAGTATTAGGAGAGCGCGAAGGATTTTTGAGAGCTGCTGGTCCTGTAGATTCCGTTCAGACTCGTGGCACGCGTGCAGAGAATCCAGTTCTCGGACCAGCTCTCGGCAACGCTTTGTCGCTGACTTGAGAGCCTTGCGGGTACTTGTTAACTCCTGTTTCAACGACCTTACTTCATTCTCCATCTGCAAACAGATAAAAAAAATTATCAGCATCATTTCTCAACATTTTTATGAGCATTTTAGTAACTTTAAAATAGTTTTAAAAAGTCAAATAACACTTCTAGGATGATCTTTAGCTATAGTTTTATCTTTTGGAGGGATCTTTAGCATCGTGGTTGGTAAAAAAAGTTCGCCGTGATTCATACGAACCCGTTTTGGGTCCAGCATCGCAATACACTCGAAAACTCGTCTCTAAGACGCCTAAAGGTGCGTTCACACGCAAGTTAGACCTCACAGGTGCAAGAATTTGCTTTAAAACTAGTGATTAGCAACTAGAGATTTATAATATATGCTTTTCAATTATATTCTCCGCATTTTTGTCAATGATGTGTTACCTCTAAAAATACTGGAATGCTTTGAAAGTGAATAAAAAATAGTAAAAAACACTTCAAATAGTCTCAAATATTTTTTCCAAATGAATAGTCGAATGCAGAATGAAGGAAATAATTTATCAAGTAGGTTTCGGAGTAAGGAAAAAGTTTTTTTGTGATATAAAAATTCTTGAGTGATGTCTGCACGTGTAGAATTATTTATGATAGTACAAAACACGTAGGGGATACACTTTCTCCATCAAGGATCGCGTAGCAAAAGCTTCGTAATGCCGGTTGAGAGTGCGGAAGATTGCGCAAAATACACACTATAAGAGAACCGCGTTCTCTTTAATCGCCATTGTCTAGTGTAGTTGACGACAACGCAGCTATGTTGCGTTCCTTTTAATAATATATCTCTTGCCTATTCAGTCTCACTAAATTAAAACCATGACCTCGTATCCATTCCCCATCACTACATATTGTTATTTCACTGTCGATTTTATCGGAATGTTTATTGTTTTTTTTTCTTAATTAAAAATAATCTTTTTTTAGATTTAAATATAATACCTTTTTAAACGTTTTAACTATATTTAACATCACTGTTTTGAACGACTCAAATAAAAATAAAATTTTTTCAAACAGTTGAAGATTTTCTTCATCCTTGTCTAGACTGTATTTATTTCAAGTTATCTCGGAGGCAGACGAGATTGAACTGGTCACTCTCTTGAGAACCTTTCTGGAGTCCAAAGAGGGGACGAAAGGGAAGACGATCCACGGAGGTAGAGAGAAAGGGCACTCAAGAGAAAAAATAGAATTTTTTCACCTTTTTTCTCTCTTTGGTTTAAAGTGAAGTTTATTTTCCTCGTGGTAAAGGTAAAAATAAAATTATGGAAGCTCTTAAAGAGACGTAACATTGATGCTGATGGAGTATAATAATTTTATAACATTTCTTTTCAAGTCAGTTGATGTTGTCAGCTGATTTTGGGTTAAATGGAGTTGAGTGTGGTTTGTAATCTTGATTTATGGATCCAAGAGTAAAAATATAAAGCACGAACTGTCGATACATCGCTGGTCTAGAAGTAAAAAAAAGAAGAGAAACCTTATCGGCGTGACTGGTTGTTGTCGATCGCTTAAAAGAACAAGACACGGACGATTGTTCCGGAACAACATTTACTACCACTTCCGTGTCTATAAATTTTATTGTACATCAAATATTATTACAGTACAATGTGAAAAAGTTTGTAATCATGATTGATATCAAATCAATCTGTCAATCAATAAATTGGATTTTAGAGACCAAGATTTATGATTTTGCTGTCAAACAACAGTTGATACTTGATGATTATTTGTTAATAGTACATACATAAAAAAAATTAAAGTTTGATTTTCAGAATTTATTATTCAACTGTTGAAAGAAATTTTTGTTATTTACCTTTCTTAGCAACTGTTCTTATTAAAATGTTTGCAATACTTTTTAGCAGATTCGACAATATTTTTATATTTCATCCATTAATTATAATTATGACGATTTTTTATATTGAAAATATTTATTGTTTCAAAGAGTATTACATTTAGAGTTAGAATGATAAAAAATATTTTCAATAGCACTTGCTCAATGTTTACAATACAGAATAAAAATTCATTAGGTATTAAAATGGTTAAAAACACTGATGAAATAATGAAAAAAAACTTCAGAAACTTTCGAATTCTTACCGTCCAATAATCAAGCCAAATTTTCGAATCAATTTTTCTTTTGCACGACATATTGTAAAATTTATATATTTTTATTTTCTAGAACTTTATCATTAATATCACTAGATTGACACTTCATTGGAGTTTAGAGGAGCTAAAAGATTCAAAGATAAATGTGCCGAGCATACGTGCACTGAATTGAAAGAATTTGAGAAACAAGTATCACCACAGGCCTGTTCTCGCCACGACTGCCAGGTTATCTTGAGTGCGATGTTTCCAAGCCGATAATAATAATCGCGATGATAATGTCAACAGTAAAATGCCGCGGTCCCTCCTGTACTGACGTTTCGAACCCGTCAAATAATATTTCCCAACAACAGACAAACGAGATTTGTTTATTAAAAATAAATTCATATATCAAAATATTGCTTATGTTTTCACAATTTATAGTTTCTTGGATATTTTACATTTTTTTCACTTTTTCCATCAAATAAGCTAATGCACTAGCTGCTTTGGTGAAAAGACGAGTGAACACTGAGGCTTTCCCGCAAGTCGCAATCGTTTCTTCGACTATTTACATTGGCTCAAGCACAACGAACCAGTTAGCTTAGCTTCCGGTCTATCCAGTGGAATATCGCACATCCCAGTAATTGCGTCACCAACATATTCATTTGGGAGTATAAAGAAACAACTTCTTTTCTTTGTTCAAGTGTTAAAAAAGTAATTGCATTTATTCATTCGGGAATTCCTAAATTTTACGTCATTACTTGCTCGTTGATATGAATATTCTATTTCACAGTGCTTTCGTAACCACTTCTAACTGAAATCACACCTTCAAGTTTCCCAAAAAAGTAATTAAACATTTTTTTAAAATATTAATGTGAATAAATAATATTTCTTACCAATGTACAAAATGATTTTCAAGTTATTTTTGCAGTTACTATGATTAGGATAATTGATAACAATTAATTTATTGTTTAGAATTAAATGTTAGATAAAATCATATTAAAAGAAATTTAATTTTAATTGTCGTTGATTTAATTGTTATCTCTGATGATAAAACAATTACAGCAATTAAACGAATGATGAAATTTATCATTTAACTTCTAAGAGTTGATTTAATAATAGACAAAATAAAATTAACGCAGGTTCAAAATAAATTTTTTTTTAAAGAATTTAAACCGGTTATAAGAAAATTTAGGTTGATTAAAATCTTTATGGTCTGATATTCTTCAAGGTCATTGATTTGATTGAAGATAAAAATTATCCATGTAGAAACTACATTGTATTGATCAATGTCTCAAGGTAATTTTTAAAAACGCGATAACTCCTTAAGTTTCAGGTGTTGATATTGCTTTGGAATGTGGTTTTGTTTAATGAATAATAAATGAAACTAAAATATGATAAAGTTGATAAGAATGTTATTGATATGTTAATAGAATGAAAATATGTCGTATGCAAGCGTGAAGTAGTATGTTATTGTTATTATTAACGATTATCATCATTGTTGCCATTATATTATAATGATTATAATAATTCCTATAATTATTGAAATGAATTATCATATTCTTGGTTCAATACTCGACATGAAATGAAAGAAAAACATAAAATAGTAGCTTCCTTCCGCGTCTCGTGATCGGCGACTCGTGTTATCGTCATGTCACGCTTTCGCGAGTCTCCTTTCATGAGTAAAAAAATTCTAAATATAATTATGACGCAAAAAAAGAAGGCCTGAGGTCGATACCAAAGACTCTGACATGAAAGAATGCGAGCAGTGGAACAACGGGATTTAATATTTCATGTCATGTCATTCAATATGGAGCGAAAGTGCTTTTGATACAGAAAAAATTGATAAAATTAGAAAAATACTAAAAATTAACTGAATATAAAAATATTAAGTCATTCTATTTTACAGAAAGCAGAGAATTTCAAAAAAAAAATTATGATTGAAAGGATTGATGGTCATCAATAATAAATAGCAAATTTATTTCAATGAATAATTAATTACTAATAACCAGTTTTTGTATTCTATCCATTTATGGGCTGGTAATATTTTTTAATGAAGCAATAATTTAATTAAAACATGTTTGATATTAAAATTGGAGCATTCGACAGATAATAATTCATTCATTCGTTTGAAAATATTATCTCTAATTTTAAATAATTCACTATTACCTATATAGTAATAAAAACAATAATTATTATTCATTGTTTATTTTTCTGAATTAAAAAATTGTTTATAAAAATCTAACAATACGTCATTAATTTTTCCTAGAAGTAGAATAGCTTCTAATGTATTTACTTGTATTCAAATCATGTTCCTAAAATGTAAAATAAACGATCTGCCCTTCTAGGTATTTAATTTATTAAATAGGGTTCTACATAAGAGACAGTGGATTTCGTTTCGTCTAGACCAATTTATAGAGACCATTGAATGTATAGGAGAAGACTTGAGTAGAGCCAAGAAGCGGAAGGCTACAATGAAAAGCGCAAGTCTTGGCAATAATTGACAAGCGCATGGTCAGAAATAAGACATACACAAGAGTGTATTCTTGCAATAACAGCTTCCTATAACTAGTTAAATCGGATTCATTCTGTTCTCCGGGTATGACACGTATTTATACGACTGCGCAATGTGACATTTTCTCTTCAAATAAAAGAGACTGTCAACTATAGTAAAAATGATAACATGTCATTTAATTTCAAACTTTTTTTCAAGTACACAAACATTTCAGGAAGATTTAAAAGCCGCACCTTCTTGAAGATGTTGGTTAGTGTGCTAATCATTAGGTACCGTTACAATCTCGTGTATGCCTGTCGGCATTTATACGGCACCAATTCCAAACCAAAACCATAAGAGAACACACGTGAGGCCATTGAATCTACCGATCCAGTCAGTTGCTTGTAACAAATAAATTGGTAAAATGAAAGAAAATTGATGGAATTGACCTTTATTCAAATTCGTAGTTGTCAATGACTTGAAGATGTGCTGAAGAATTGGAGAATGTCTTATGAAGAAAGCTTCCGGCAATTTTTTTGATAAGACATTGATGAACATCAACATCTACCAATCGAATTGCAAAATTGAACTCTTAGAAATTTAAAATTTATTTATTTAAACGAATTTCTTGGGTGAATGGAAATAAATAGTTTTTTGTGTTTTATGCTAAGTTGAGAAAATTAGATATTAAATGAATGAAGAAAATCCTGTTGTACGACTAAAATATTTTTTTCTAGCACAGCTTAATGCTTGATAAATACGCAAACTAGAAAATAAGAGTCCGTATAAACATGAGGTTTATTTAAACCCGTATAAGTTATACAAAGTCTATATTAGTAGTAAAAATAATCTAATCAGCAAAAAAATTATCATGAACATTGGAAAAGTTGAGATATAAAAACTTTGATGGTGAATCATCCTCAGCATTTTTCAAAGACAAGCTAATAAGACTTTTTTTGAATTCAACTAGTTAGTTTCAATCATGATTTATTAGTACTTATTTCTTAAAAAAAAGTCTAATAACATTAATTGAACAATTTAGAAAAATAATTACTGATGCCTTCTTGGTACAAAAAAAAATTGGCAATTCAAGCACATTTATTGTGATTAATTTTCCACTGACTTTGAAGAATACCAAGTATGAGTTGGGTAATAATAGAATCGATTTAAACGATCAGGTCAATCGATTAAATGGCTAGACTGGCATAGTGTCAGGTTCTACATTATTTAGTTCTCGCGTCATTGCAGTAGTGACGGCTTAGGAAGTCTACATGATACAACTCTCATCCTAATCACCGATTCACCGTACTGGTAAAACTGACTCGCGCAACAACATGCGCGTGTAACAAACTCCGCAATTCACTGTCTCGTGACTCACTACGACACTTTGGTTAACATTATGTTTGCCTGATATTCCCGCGATCGAGACGTTTGCGCAAATCGTTCATTCAAGAACTCACATGATGGACAAATATACTAATCATTGTCATCAACTTCAATTGAAGCTGTCTTCATTATAACTTATAAACTGGTAACTATTTTAATTTTTTAATCACGCCTAATTGACGTACTTCGAGTGCTAGCTGGTGAGAAAGTGAACATTACATCAGAAAAATTCGACGCTTGAAAAATTAATTAAAAAATTCCAGTTGTTCATCAAATGTGCGTGATTCTTATCATTCTATTGATCACGGACATGATCTACAAACATAAATAATATGTTTATGGGAACTGGTGCATTTCATGGTCTGAAAATAGAAGAAAGTTTTGTGGGTTTTAATAACAGAAAGGGTTTTTGCGTTGTATGATGGAAAAAAGAATTTTATACAATGAGAAATGATGGAAAAAACGAGTTTTCAGCTAAAATATGATAAAAAATACTAAAGGAAAAAGAAACTATCATTTTTATAGAGTAGTGTGTCAGAAGAGAATACTAATGATTTATGAGAAACTTATGGTCAAAGAGAACAATAGTGCAAAAAAAAAAATTAATACTAATAATATTTAAGTGATGATTACAATAATAAAATACATTGCAGAGTTGAGTAAGTAAGTCTTACTTCAAGTACTACTGTATCAAGTTACAGTAGAGTTACTCCAATGATTTCAAAGTAACTTTTATGTTAAATTTTATATGACTGTATTTTTATAAGGAACATTAATTATTAGAATTTATTTCAAGGAATAAAAATGTAATTGCTTCACTTTTATTATTTTTTACGTAATTCAATTTCTTTTTCATGACTTTAATTTATTAGTAGTAGTAATATATTTATTCTCAGAAATTTTTATTCAGCTTAAATTCTTAATAATATTTTACAAATATTTTAGAAATGTTTTAACGTAATCCATTAACTTCCTCTGTAATAAAATAATATCCAATAATTTTTTTTCTTTACAATAATATTTAATAATTCTCTAAGAACATTCAATTGTATTGAGAACCTTGCAAACTTTATTGAAAGAAATTTTCTTGAAAGGTTTATTTTTTAAAGCAATAACAAAAAAATGTATTATATTTTATTTTGTGATTTGTATGATCGTTCATTAAGAAATACACAATACAATTTATTATGTTTGCATAAGTGCAACTTATGTAAACTGGTCTATTCATAAACTAAACTTTAAGTAAAGTGGCCTCTAACAGAAGAAAATGCTCGTTGAACCAGTTTAAAGTTTACCCAGAAGAAAGAAACACACAGAAAATGAAAAATGAGGAAAAAAAGTACTGAGAATGAAATGAAAAGGGAAGGTAAGTAGTGAACTTATTTATTGTTCCCACGGGATTGTTGGTCTTTGTAAAGTTGACGGTCTTTTGGAAGCTGTACCGACATCATAAACAAGGTGTAACTCAGTGGTTACGTATTCAGCCATTTGTAATGCTCGAGTTGTTGAAGAAACGAGGTAGTTTATAAGAAATTACCTTACCTGGTTTGTTGGTCTCTAGTAAAATAAAGCAAAATATTATCTGGTATTTAGACCGTGAGAACTTGAGTTGTTTGTTGATTCAAAGAAGCTTGAAATTTAAAGATGAAATTCTAATAAAGACTTGAAGATGTTAACAATATTTAATTGAGAGTAAAATACATACATCTGCGAGCCTAAACACTAAAAGACCAATTGAGACGTACTCAAGCAATTCGTTAATTTTAATTGTCGTTAACGAGCTGTTCATTTTGA